TTTGTTAGTTGCACAATATAAATATGATCGTCACTTTATGTCACATTTAGTGTTAAAATCGAAAGTCCACTATGCTGCTTTCATGCATGCATTATTATGATCATGTGTCATACACATTAGAAATTCTAAAAATAATTCTTGTTGCACAGCTAATTAAAATGTCGTCAACATATAGATTATCGATTGATTATGCAAAATTTCTGTGGAATATAAAAGAATCATGTGTGCATTACAAAGATACAAATATCAGATTCACTCTGAGAGACTGATTTTTATTACTTATCTACAATTACGCTTCCACTGTTATTATACTTTTATCTGGGTTCTTAAAATTGGATACGGTTTTTCCCATTCCTTCATAAGGTCATCGAGCCATCCAGTTACTTAAACCAATTTTTAGTATGCTACGACGCAACAACTCTTCACCAATTAACCTATCCCAATCCGTTAATTTCAAATATTTTTTAGGATCCTCCCCTTCTTCTATTGCACTTTGATAGAAATGCATATCTCTTTTCCAATTCACTATGGAAACATTTTTTTTCTCAGCTTCGGTAACAGTCAAAAATTGTTCAGGGTCCTCTTCTCTATGTTCAATGGCATAAACGCATTCCATTTTATTTGGATTAGTCCTAGGATTGGGTTATTTTTTCATGATATTTATGCAACTACATATAACATGTAGAAAAACTCACAAGAGACTTGTTTTATTGATAATATAGAAATAAATTACATCAGTTCGAAGTGTGGCTAAACCAAACTCACTACACATGTAAAAAACTATTTTAAGTAGGGCTATGTAATTTAATATGCCCATTAGAACCACACCAACCACACGATATGTTACATGCCCGCTGAATGGCTTTCTTGTTAGAATCATGCTTAAAAACCCAAAGTGCTTCAATAATTTATATACAATAGTTTATATACATTAGTTAACCTTTAGTTTGCATATGTAGTGCTTTTTTTTTTACTTTCCTTTAGACATGTTAGTGTTATCCAATTCTCTGGATTCATTTGAAAAAATTTTGGTTTTTTTATTTAGATTATCATAACATTATTCTTGGTAGATCTTCATATGCACAAAACTTCCATCATAAAATAGTAATTGATTAATTTTCAACATGTTTATACTTACTAATATTTTCCTAAATCAATCTAAAATAATAATAAAACAAAAAAATTTATTAAACATAAAATAGCAACAACAATAACAATAACAACAATATCGCCAATTAATTACCATTTTTTTTCTTTATTCTTTTTCTATTTGATTTTTTGGAATGAGATGATTTTGTAAATCTTTTAATTTTAATAGGATGAACCCTTTTTTTGATTTTTTCATTATTCATTGACTTTTTCTTCTTACTTGATAATTTATTATTATCAACTTCTATAATCTTTTCAATATTTTTAGAATATTCACTCTCTGATATTGAAGAAAAATTACAAATGTCTAAATCATTGATTATTGTAACCGTTGTCAATGTTTCAGGTGTTCTAAATTCGGATTTTTTCATTTCTATTTCTTGTTTCACATTTTTCTCTTCTTCCACATATTCATCAACCTTGTCTTGTAAGTTTTCATCAACATTTGATGATGATGATATAATTGAATCTATTAAGTATAAATAAATTATCTTTACAAATTTGTTTTGTTAAAAATCCATATGTATATATAAACTCAATTCCTTCCTTACACACTTTCAGTTGTTTTATAAAACTCTGCGATTTTTTTTATTTTTGCTTCTTTTGTCTAATTATTCAATAAAATTCATTGATGAGTTTTTTTTATTTTTAAAAACATATAGAGATACACAATATATTTATATGTCTATATATATATATATACAAACATACAGTTTTCCTAAGTTCAGATCTTTCTTTTTTTGCGAGTCTTATAGCTGTTTCTTTTGCCTTTGCCTTTCTTTCCAACTTTCTTTTATGAAAACCCGTTAAATATTCACTTAATTTTCATAAAATTTATTAAAATAAATAATAAAATAAATGTGCTGTTTTAATTTACAAAATATAACTAACCGTCTAGCATTTTCGTCAAAAACTATTTTTTCAACTTGTTGTTTTTTTCTTTCTCTTTTTTTAGCATATATTTGATTTCCCGAAGTTAATATTGTTAAATTATCCATCTTTTAAAAATTTTTTTTTTTTAACCAGACATAGCAACAAATTTGTGTCAATCACATTTGATTCTAGAGGTGCGCATAAATCATATGATTTCCTTTAATTTTGAATATTGAATGATTATTTGAATCCTTTGTATTATCAAGCTACAAAATAACATCATCATCAAAATTGAGAAACTAATTTTTTTTTGTTGAAAATTAATAATAGTTAGTATATAAAAGGGGTAGTATCTTAGTCATAATTTTACAAATAGTTGGAATTGATAATGATCCCTACATTCTATTGAGTCTGAAGAACAGAACAATTTAATAACAATAAAAAATCTGTA